ATATATATACAAGAAGGTACATTGGGTTTGTGAGGATACATTGGATAGTACAGTATTTACAATCTTGTAAGCCACTAGTACGCGCAGCGTTTCGGGCAGGTCAAACATTACATTCTAGTAAGGAGACTTTACTCCAAAAGCTCCTTATTGTAATGAAAAAATTTCAGCTGAGGGTAACAAAAATCTTCACGGGACTATATCAATTCATATGTCATTTTTTAGGTACATCTGCATTGATATAGCTGTTATAGACTCATATATGAAGAGTTACACAGTTTGTGTCAAGAGTTAGTAGCTGTGTTACCAAAATCTCCATATCTCGCAGGATGGTTCGTCAGTATATGCCTGCAGCCTATCATCTCAAGCGTTCCTAATGTCACTAAACTGATCACATCAGTTTTGGGAGCCGCTTTGATTTTTAGTGTATTAGTTTTTGGCCTCAGGTGATTTACACGTCAAATTGGATGTATCATTCGAGAAGACGGGTTAATGCCTGACCTAGTTCAGGCAACTCGTCAAACAGGACAGACCTGGGGCCAGATTCACGAAGCATTTACGCAAGTACTTAAGAACGTGTACATCTTTCCTCAATCTTTGACGGCTTTGTTTACATTTATTAAACAGTTTACAAGCATGAAAACTTGCCAATCAACTGTTGTTAATGTTATAAACAGCCTCCTGGTGCTTGCGAGCTTATTAACTGTTTAATAATTGTAAACAAAGCCGCCAAAGATTGAGAAAAGATGTACAGGTTCGTAAGTGCTTGCGTAACTGCTTCGTGAATCTGGCCCCTGATTTCACCTAGACATTTAAGGTACTGAAAAATGTGCAATATAGCAAATCCACTAATTCATGACACTCTGTGACTCAAACAGGAGGCAGTAATTACAAGCACCACCAATGTTAAGTTCCTTAGCTATAGATTATTATTATTATTAATGTGTATATGTATGTATATTGTGACGATAATCTCCTTCAAGAGATTGAGCCTGCTCTTCCCTCCATAATTACGTCTTCACAATTATATAAAAAGACTATGGAAGAAATGTCCAACAACGACAACAACACCAGCAAGGCTTGCCAGGGTGAGCAGAAACGTATGCAGCCAGCCACCTGTTCGAACTCCAACCACCAAACTACCCGTTGATCGCTACGGCTCCGCTGATTGGTCGCCGGTCTGGCTGCACCTGCACTCGCCCCCCATACTACCTGATGTCTGGGGTCGCCCCAACATCAGTCCTCAGAATGTTCAGTGCTTTCGTAGCCAGCACTCCTCCCAGCTAGACGTTAGCGTGTACTGAGAGAGGTGGTGGCTTTAAGCCGATATTCCAGCACCTCCCACTTACCTTTGTGTTGCACTTCTTGTTATTTTGCCTTAACGTAACTTTTCATTGTGTCATTTAAGTATTCTTATTATTTTGATTCATTGATTTTATTATACATATTTGTTTGTGCATTATTTTCATGTTTTGATTTATTTAACGTAATTAAAATTTCATTGTTAAAGTTTTACTTGTGTTTTGTGTGTCTTCTCCTTACCTTACCACAGACGAAGTTCCAGTTTTTCTATATTTTTTTTTATAACTATGTGACGAGGCCATACCCCTAGCCTTAAACAGCCGAACACCAACGCGTTACCGTCACAATATATATATATATATATATATATATATATATATATATATATATATATATATGACTGAAAACTCCCACCCCAGAAGTGACTCGAACCCATACTCCCGGGTTCGTGATGGTCAAGTGGATTAAGGCGTCCTGTAGTTACCAGTTGCGTTGTTCCTGGGAGTATGGGTTCGAGTCACTTCTGGGGTGTGAGTTTTCATTCGCATATAGTCCTGGGGACCATTCAGGCTTGTTCGCATATATATGTATATATATATATATATATATATATATAATATTTATTTATATACAAGAAGGTACATTGGGTTAATGAAAGTACGGAGACTTGAAGTTTTACATTCTTATAAAGCCACTAGCACGCATAGCGTTTCGGGCAGATCCTTAATCTAACATATAATTTTAAGAAAGTAATTTCTAGCAAAATTAAAAAATAATGTTTACAGATACATTGTAAGAAAGTATAAAAAAAATACATTGTAAGAGTATAAAAAAATAAATTATATAAAAAAAATTGATAAAAAAGAGTAGGTAGATTTAATTTAAAAAGTAAATTTAAGGGTTATCCACAGGTACATTTTAGCATAATTTGAGGTTTATTGCAAGATATTATGTAGCAAACTATGTGTATAATAAGATATAAGATAACAGCAATGATTACAAAGGTGAAGTTGTATGGCTTAGGTACATACATTTGGGGATTGGGTAGCACTAGATACAGTGCGAGTTTCAAGAACTAGGTAGGAAACTATGAAGATGAAATTAGGTACTTTTTGGTTATATTTTTGAATGAGGCAAAAGTTTGACAGCTTTTCAATTCGTTAGGGAGTGAGTTCCATAGAACAGGTCCCTTTATTTGCATAGAGTGTTTACACAGATTAAGTTTAACTCTGGGGATATCAAAGATATATTTATTTCTGGTGTGGTGATTATGTGTTCTATTACATCTGTCCAAGAAGAGTTTCAGAACAGGGTTTGCACTGCTTATTTCCAAGAAGGTACAATAGGTATGTGAGATTGCATAAGATTTGAATTTTGACAGTCTTGCAGTGCCGCTAACACGCATAGCGTTTCAGACAGGTCCTTAATCTAACATATCAGTTAAGATGAAAATGAACATTGTAGCTAAATGTATATCAACATATAACTATAATATATATTGACAGAGGTGATTACACTGGTGAAGATATATATGTCTTACGTACTAATATTGGAAGAAGTGCGCAGTACTAGATACAATGTGTTTGAAGCACACGGTAGGAAACTATGAACTATGAGAATGAAATTAGGTATTTTCTTGTTATATATATATATATATATATATATATATATATATATATATATATATATATATATATATATATATGAACTAAAGAAAAACTATCCCTGTCACAACCAAGACAGATAATGACCAATAGGTAAACATACATATTAATTACTACAAAAGTAGACTGTCACAAAGAATCTAGTGTACATCTCTAGCACTTGCAGCAATATACATTTTGGCAAACCTTTTTTGTATATATAATTCACATATATTTACATTTAATATTAAGTATTAACGCAAACCGTGTAAATCCAATTCATTCATTATTTAAGTTATGGCCAAAATGCTCTGTGTATATAATTTATGGCTTTATAAAATATACAAATACCCTACCTACTAAGTAACTAATTGATCTATTGTATATCTTATAAATTAAATGTGATTTTCTTTCTATACTCACAATAAAATCCTATAAATTAAATATGATTATTATTCTATACTAACAATAAATAAAGCAGACTACTTGCATGTATCTAACTGTGGCATATTATAATAATCGTCACCTGACGAAGCACGAATGTACTGCTCACCCACCACCACACGTACTTAATCCATCAATCTTCTTGTATTTGAATAAATAAATATATGCTAGGTTGACAGCGTAATGGTTTTGTTTTGGTCCTTGTCTTGCAGTTTGAAACAAGACAGGAATGTTTTGTTTTTTGTGTTGTCGAGGTCTTTCTCGATGGATGCTGCCTGCAGGTTTGTTGAGGTCTTCCTCGGTGTGTGCTGCCTGCAGGTTTGTTGAGGTCTTTCTCGGTGTGTGCTGCCTGCAGGTTTGTTGAGGTCTTCCTCGGTGTGTGCTGCTTGCAGGTTTGTTGAGGTCTTTCTCGATGGGTGCTGCTTGCAGGTTTGTTGAGGTCTTCCTCGGTGTGTGCTGCCTGCAGGTTTGTTGAGGTCTTTCTCGGTGTGTGCTGCTTGCAGGTTTGTTGAGGTCTTTCTCGGTGTGTGCTGCTTGCAGGTTTGTTGAGGTCTTTCTCGGTGTGTGCTGCTTGCAGGTTTGTTGAGGTCTTTCTCGGTGTGTGCAGCTTGCAGGTTTGTTGAGGTCTTTCTCGGTGTGTGCTGCTTGCAGGTTTGTTGAGGTCTTTCTCGATGGATGCTGCTTGCAGGTTTGTTGAGGTCTTTCTCGGTGTGTGCTGCTTGCAGGTTTGTTGAGGTCTTTCTCGGTGTGTGCTGCTTGCAGGTTTGTTGAGGTCTTTCTAGGTGTGTGCAGCTTGCAGGTTTGTTGAGGTCTTTCTCGGTGTGTGCTGCTTGCAGGTTTGTTGAGGTCTTTCTCGGTGTGTGCTGCTTGCAGGTTTGTTGAGGTCTTTCTCGGTGTGTGCTGCTTGCAGGTTTGTTGAGGTCTTTCTCGGTGTGTGCTGCTTGCAGGTTTGTTGAGGTCTTTCTCGGTGTGTGCTGCTTGCAGGTTTGTTGAGGTCTTTCTCGGTGTGTGCAGCTTGCAGGTTTGTTGAGGTCTTTCTCGGTGTGTGCAGCTTGCAGGTTTGTTGAGGTCTTTCTCGGTGTGTGCTGCCTGCAGGTTTGTTGAGCTCTTTCTCGGTGTGTGCAGCTTGCAGGTTTGTTGAGGTCTTTCTCGGTGTGTGCAGCTTGCAGGTTTGTTGAGGTCTTTCTCGGTGTGTGCTGCCTGCAGGTTTCTTGAGGTCTTCCTCGGTGTGTGCTGCCTGCAGGTTTGTTGAGACCTTTCTCGGTGTGTGCTGCCTGCAGGTTTGTTGAGGTCTTTCTCGGTGGGTGCTGCCTGCAGGTTTGTTGAGGCCTTTCTCGGTGTGTGCTGCCTGCAGGTTTGTTGAGGTCTTTCTCGGTGGGTGCTGCCTGCAGGTTTGTTGAGGTCTTTCTCGGTGGGTGCTGCCTGCAGGTTTGTTGAGGCCTTTCTCGGTGTGTGCTGCCTGCAGGTTTGTTGAGGCCTTTCTCGGTGTGTGCTGCCTGCAGGTTTGTTGAGGTCTTTCTCGGTGTGTGCTGCCTGCAGGTTTCTTGAGGTCTTCCTCGGTGTGTGCTGCCTGCAGGTTTCTTGAGGTCTTCCTCGGTGTGTGCTGCCTGCAGGTTTGTTGAGGTCTTCCTCGGTGTGTGCTGCCTGCAGGTTTCTTGAGGTCTTCCTCGGTGTGTGCTGCCTGCAGGTTTCTTGAGGTCTTCCTCGGTGTGTGCTGCCTGCAGGTTTCTTGAGGTCTTCCTCGGTGTGTGCTGCCTGCAGGTTTCTTGAGGTCTTCCTCGGTGTGTGCTGCCTGCAGATTTGTCGAGGTCTTCCTCGGTGTGTGCTGGCTACAAGTTTCAAAAGCTTTAATATTATTTTTTGACTTACAGTTTGCAAGTGTCACGAATAGCTTCCTTCAACATATTTTCTATCTTTTCTAACTTTGCCTCAAATTTCTTTGTGTGTGCTATATACTCGGCCACACACGGCTCGGTGCTAGTCTCACGAGAGGTCTGGTTGGCTCTGGCAGTCAAGATGGCGGCCTGGACTGTACTGGCGGGGGTTTGATACCGAGGGCATTGCCACCTGCTGGATCGCTTCCTGTTCACATAAACATTCTCTTTGTGGTTAGTCTTGGATATGTTACTTAAAAATGTTGCCAGTCGTGGAAATAATCTAAATCTTTGTACAACACCGGTGAGCTTCTCAAATGTGACTAGGTACGATGCTTGCTTTGACAATCTTTCAATTTCACCAAGTCGCTCCAGGTTAGATATGTCATCGACAGCAAGGCCGATGAGAAGGTTGGCCATGAGGACGCATACGAGGAAGAGGAACACCATTAGAACAATGTAGCTGATGTAGGCAGTGTTAGAGTCCACCATCCCCGTGTAATCCAACTCTCCCACCATCATCATCAGCGTCTTGGCCAGGCTTCTTCCGAAACTGCCGAATTCTTCCTTCTCGTAAAACAATACCATAAAACTTAACGCGAACCCAATCAGCAGGCTAATAAATGATGCTATAAATTTAAGGGCAGACTTAGCAATTCGTGTGAACATAAGAACATGGGCTCCAAGGATAGGGAGCCGTCCACACAACATCATCAGCTCTACCCACCCGAAGAAGACAGATACCGCCGCCATTTGTCTCTCCACTGACAAGTGTGTACCTGGTGTTGAGTTTGTCTGGTTCATTATATTGGTCTCCAATCCGGGGACTGCTTTTATCAATAGTTCATGACCGAACACAACATAAGCAGAAGATACTAATGAAATAAATTTGGTTACTGTTTCCCAGTGCTTGAGGTACTTCTGGGGGTTACCAATAATAGTGATAAGCTCAGGCCACAGGATGACAAAGTACATAAACATGTGTAAAATGCGAAATACCAAGAGGCTAATAAGAGCCCTGGACATCTTCGATGTCTTCTTGTACGTAGAGACGATGTACGTTGTGTGCAGCAACAGAAAAATGAAGAAGCAGATTATTTTACTGTAAAAGAATAACTTAATTTTGCTCCATTTAATACCAAGAAAAGACTCTATGAGAGGATGTTTAAGGAGAGCTTCTGCTTCTGAACTGTTTAGATCATTCATAAGGGAACTTTGTATCTCACCCTTCTCCTGACACAGTATGCTCGAGTAGTCGAAGGTGACGCGGAAATTGGGGTCATGTTGGGGCTCGTCTGACAAATGAATGCGAGCATCAAACAGTCGTTTGAGAAGATCTGGAGCTGACGGGAGATAGGTGAGGAGCAGCGCACAGCGAGAAACACCTTCACTGTCTTCCCGTGTGAGGTGGTCACCGTTGTTCAGTAAAATTTCACAGCAGTCGATTGAACTGCTGCGAATGGCATAGAGAAAGGGTTCAATTCCCTCGACGTTTGGCATGGTGACGAGTTTATCGATGCGGCCTGTGTTGAGTAGGTGTGTAAGGCTGCTGGAGCAACCCTTGTAGCAGGCTCCGTGCACCACCGACTCTCCCCTCTGCGTCACCGCCAGCGGATCAGCTCCCATAGACAACAATCTTTCCACGGCCTTGGAATACCGAAAGCATGCAGCTAAAAAGAGAGGAGATTCTCCCTGATTATTTCTCAAGTTGACGTCTACTCCAGTGTTAAACAGCATCTGAAGAATTTCCAGGAGCGTATCTTCAACAACCTTATCACATGCCTTCACAATGGCCGCATGCATGACGCCGCCACCATTATAGCTACGAGAGTGCAACATCTCGCTGGAAACCTTGTGCTGCAATAAAATACTCAGAAGCTCAGTGCTGTGAGCATGTGCAGCCAGATGCAGAAGAGAGTCCCCATTCTTGTCCACCACGCTCATGTCTGGTCTATACTGCATCAACATCTTAGTAGTGGTGACATCTCCACGCCTCACTGCAGCCTGGAGAGGTGTATCCCCTTCAGCTTGTATTTTATTTGTACCCCCTACCTTGGTAGCCACTGCAGTAGATGGGGGCATGAGCTTAGCATCCGGCGAGGCCCCAGCCTTGAGGAGCTCGGCCACGCCCAGGTGCCAGCCCTCACTGACAGCAACGTGGAGCGCTGTGTTCCCATGACCGTCCACCGCCTCCACCTGTGCGCACATGACACCCGTAAGCACTACCTCATAATCTAAACAAAAGTTATACAAAATGTATAATAAAGAGCTGTCAGTTAAAGATAAAACATTTATTATACTGGATACGAAATTAGAAGCTATTATATTGGCGATGAATTTAACAATTTTATGAACGTATTACGATAATTTTGAGGATACTAAAATTTATTTTAGTTTTGGAGTGGTGGTGAGGGTTAGCGCGGTAAATTGCGTATTTGTTGATACAATGTACAATGGGCAAATACTTTAAAAAAGCAGCATGAACAGATATTGTCGAGGCACTGCAGATTTGTCCCTAGAGGCCACTGGCAGCCTAGTGTACAGTTGGGCATTGTGTCTTGAAATTCACTATTAATTTTGTGTCAATTTAAGGACTTGCCTGAAACGCAAATCGTGTTGAGTGGCTTTACAAGAATGTACCACTTAATCACCAAAATGTGTACTTTCACAACACTGCAAACCACAAAAGTAATTAATCTTTTAACCCATGTTATGGGTTTGCTGAAAATACAACCCGCCTTACAAACCTGCTCAACTTTTTGGAGACGGTAACCATCTACTCAGACAAAGGACTTTCGGTAGAAGTAGTATTCATGGATTTTGCTAAAACTTGTGATAAGGTAATATATAAAAGACTAGCAACGAAATTACAGGCGCACGGAGTAAATAGTAGAATACTAGAATTGACAAAACAATGACTAAAACTAAGAAAACAAGGGTCTTGCTAAACGGGAAGGATTCTGAATGGAGAAATGTGTTGAGTAGGGTGCCACAGAGGTCTATTTCAGGACTAACCCTTTTTCTCATATACATCAATAACATAGATAAGAATATTACAAATCTCATCATCAAATTTGCAGATGACACTGAGATTTATGCTAAAGTGGGAAGCGAAAATGATATTGAGGCCTTACAAAAATATCTGCATGAACTCCACAAATGGTTATAAGACTGGTAAATGCTTCTTAATATCGAAAAATTGCAAGACTTTGCATGTGGGACATAACGACCCACGCCATAACTACCAAATTAATAACATAATATTATAGCATATTGATGAAGAAAAGGACCTTTGAGTCAGGATTCACCTTTCACTAAAAGTTCCACAACAGTTGGAAGCAGCCGTAAAAAAAGCTAACCAAACCCTAGGAATAATGAAGCGTACCTTTGACTTTAAGGAATAGAAAGTTGTTGGTCAACTGTATAAATCTCTGGTACACTTGGATTACTGTATCCAGGCATGGAGACATCATCTTCAGAAATACATAGCTGCTCTCGAGAAAGTACAACACCGGGCAACAAAAATAATTCCAGAACTAAATCAACTCTCATACTTTATTAAGTATATTGTACTTAATTTATTTTTAATTTATTTAATTTAATTTATACTTAATTTATTAAGTATATACATACAGTACTCATACAGATTAAGGAAGGGTTGAGGGCCACAGGGCTAACAACACCGTAAACAAGGCATGACAGAGCGGATCTCACCGAAACTTTTAAAATACTGAAAAATTTTGAGGATTCAGACAATTTCTACAGAAGGTCAGATGTAACACAAACAAGGAGCAACGATTTCAAGCTCAACAAGTTACAGTGTAGGACTGAAAACATGAAATGCTTTTTCACCCAGAAGTTATAAACCCATGGAACCGCCTACTCGCCGAAGCCGTAAACTCTGCTAAACTTTAAAGTCCAACTGGAACAATTCATCAGGAAAAATGGGAAGTGGGGGGGGGGGGGGGGGAAGGGACCTTTGGCAATCCTCCAGATTACTGTCCTCGTCGAGGCCACTAGAGTGTTAGTGGCCCTCAGGTAAATTCAGGTACATATAGTACAGAGTACTCAAATAATTTGGAAAGAAAATAATTTGCTTGATTACGTTAATTAAGCTAGTAAATCGAAGTGCTTAATTTCATACCACGTTTTTATACTCATGCCAAGGCTACAGTGTTGTGGTGGCTGTAGTCGTAAAAGATAAGCCATTACCATAACAATTCCATTGTCTCGTTGACTTGTTGTTATTAAGGAATCATATCTACACGTAGAAAGCTTCAAACCTCTTCGCACCCAGCTGAGACAAACTGGAATCTGTGCATCATCTGTCAAGAGGTCAAGATAAAATATCTGATACAAATAGTTAATGTGAAGAGCGGACGCATTTCCCTGGCAGAACACTTAGTCTAAGTCACCGATCGCGTTATCATGGAGGGACGCTGCAACTAGAGGAGCGCGACGTAAAGACCTGGGGCCAGATTCACGAAGCATTTACGCAAGCACTTACGAACGTGTACATCTTCCCTCAATCTTTGACGGCTTTGGTTACATTTATTAAACAGTTTACAAGCATGAAAACTTCCCAATCAACTGTTGTTATTGTTATAAGCAGCCTCCTGGTGCTTCGGAGCTCATTAACTGTTTAATAATTGTAAACAAAGCCGCCAAAGATTGAGAAAAGATAAACAGGTTCGTAAGTACTTATGTAACTGCTTCGTGAATCTGGCCCCTGGGACACTGAGCCTCTCTGGCCCCTCGCACGTCTGCTCACTTCAGGTGCCTCGTATTTTGGGCACGGAATCGACTAATCCGTAAAAAATTATTCGTATAAGCAGATTTAAAACATCATAATATTGACATATTCTATGCATCCGCCTCTATTGGTGGATTGCTAAAGTTCGTACGTTTCTGGTTAAGCCAAACAGTTGCACTGCACTCACTACAAATTCGTGTTTAAATTCAACATACTAATACTGAATGGATCACGAAGTAAATTCTAAAGATACAGTCAGAAATAAGATATAGTTCAGCCAGTTAGATGCAAATGCATCAGATTTCAATCATCAGTTTCCGAGATGGCCCAAGAGACATTTCCGTCTGCAGGTAACCTGAAAGACAGACATCGACATCACGCCTGCAGCACTTGCTATCTCCCATCTGTTAAGTTCAACAGTATCAAGCACAAGCAGGTTAAGCAGCCGCCTATAGGACCACTGACATGAAAATGTGAAGATTTTTTAAAATAATAATACACAATTGATTCCAACAAAGGAAGAGATGCAGCAGGTTGTAAGGGAGCGACCTACAGGGACAAGACACTGCTTCCAAGCCCAAATTGTCTATACTCAGTATCAATTAATAAATTAATTATTTGGATTTCATGTGGAGGCTGTTATATATGTACACGAGAAGCGGGCCCAGTATACTGCCCTGGGGGACTGCAAGGATAGATTGTACCGCTCTGAAGGCTCACCTGAGCGCTATTATCGAGGAGCAGTTTGAGAATAGCCACATCCTGGACGTGGGTGGCAGCATGGAGGGGCGTCAGGCCCCCACACTCCTCCAGCGTCGCCTGCGGTGTCTCCACCAGCAGGTGCTCCACCTCCTCCACCTCACGACGCTGAATCGCCTACGGAATAAAACTATATATCATTGCATGAACAAAGAAATCATCAACGTGATGTTTCAATGAGAAAATCAGTATGAGCAGTGAAGAGGATTCGAACCTGTACTCTGGGCACTCTTTGCTTGGGAGTACCCAGTACCTTCAAGATACTAGGTACTTCCTGGACCTTCAGGGTACTCACCCCTCCCCCACCTTCAGGAACTCACCCCGCTTTCAGGTCTTTCAGGCCCCTCACCCCCACCTTCAGGTCCTCATCCCCTACCTTTACCCTTAAACGTTATAACAAAAAGAACGTCGCCTTCCTGACAGCTATATAACGTCCGGTCAAACGTACGCACCGAGAACAGTGGATGGACCGCCTTGCAAGTATCCTCTGGTGCCGAGTCGCAGACGTCTATTGCTGTCATACTCATGCTCCCATTGGAGCATCTACCAGCTACAGTGGCGTGCCCTCCGTTAGAACCCCTGGCAGGCTTCACCTCCACCTCATCCAGCTCCTCCCCTTCCTCCAGGTTCTCTTCTATCACTCCGTGCATCCCTCGGGCGTGCATAGACTTCCATCTGCCGGAGTTGCTGATGCTGATACGGAAGTTCGATGTCTTTCTGCTGTTACAGGAAACAGAAGCACGAAATTTACGAAATTGAAAATTGAAACGAAATTGAAAACGAAAATGGCACGAAGCTCGTGTCATTAAGGGGTTACAAATATTGACCATAACGTATGCATTATTGTTTCAATTATTTTACGTGTATATTAGTAGCTTACTATAACTAACCTGTTATAACAAGAAGAAAAAAGCAGCAAATCTATGCATTTTAATGGCAATTTTATATTATTATCATTGAAAGGGATTCGAACCCGCCTATAGGGTACGCCCAAGCTAGCGCCCTAGACCACCACGCCAAATGGTGACAACAATGCAATCTGAGATCCCACTCAATCCTCTAGGATTCCTGAAGCTTACAAATGAAGCCTAATCACGATCTTAAGCACTGCCCCCCAAGCACTCTGGCTAATGCCCCAGTAGTAGCTCACCGCTTCGCGTCAAATAAGCAGTCCCCGTGGCGTAGTGGTAAGATATTCGCCTGGCGTTTCGCTAGCGCTTTGGCCTAGGTTAGTATCCTGGCCGGGGAGGATTTACTGGGGGCCAATCCTTAACTGTAGCCTCTGTTTACCCAGCAGTAAAATGGGTTAAACGATTTGGCGTGGTCTTATTCCAGGGGATATTAGGTTTAAGGACTTGCCACTAGCGTGCTAGTAGCTGTCCAAGAATGTAAGAACAATATAAGCATATTGAAATTACATTAACGTGATGTATCAATGCGAATTGATAGAATTCTCGTTGATACATCATGTTAATGTGATTTTTTCATTGAGTTCTATTATTATTAGGACCATAATTATAATTACCGTCCTCGCCAGGGCAAGATGCTGCTGACGTATCTGAACATGTTTTAGCCTCGTGCTCCTCCTGTCGTAGCCTCGTGCTCCTCCTGTCGTAGCCTCGTGCTCCTCCTGTCGTAGCCTCGTGCTCCTCCTGTCGTAGCCTCGTGCTCCTCCTGTCGTAGCCTCGTGCTCCTCCTGTCGTAGCCTCGTGCTCCTCCTGTCGTAGCCTCGTGCTCCCTCCTGTAGACGCCCGACGCTTCGGGTGACGGGTATTTAGCCTCCCTGAAATTTATATAATAATACAGATGATGCTATTGTGTATTATTAAGGATACACGCCATGTCCCTGATGTATAAAGAGCGAGCGAACTTAAGTCGTATGTATGGTCTGGTATGGTATACTATAATATGGTATATATGTAAAGAAAAAGAAGTCTGTTATAAGATTTTCAATGTTTCCATTAGCCAATGGAGAGACAGCCCACGAGGTCTGTTAAGCATCCTTAACATGAGTGAGGGAGGTGCATATCATCCACAGCGCACCTGTAGAGAGATAATGTTTGTCAAGCAACAACAGGTGCGCTGCTTGTATTTTTAACTTGGCGTACCGGAAGGCAGGCCGTCCGGTCCCATTATGGTCAGTAACTGGATGGGACAGTCACAGCCCTGACAGGTGAAACGGTTATGGCACACCCACTCCACTGTCACAGCCACTCTACTGTCATCACTGTGACTAACACTTCTCTGTTACACTCGATTCACTGACTGTAACACCCATTCAACTGACTCACCCACTCCACTGAATGCCACACCCATTTCACTGATTGTCACACCCACTCCACTAATACTCTCCACTGTCACACCATCTCCAGTGACAGTCACATCTACTCCACTGTCTCATGATCCACCGTTGAGGTGATGTACATGGATTCAGCATAAGGAAAGGAATAAAGAAAAAACAGAAGGCCTATAGGCTTATACGAGGCTACTCCTATTTATATCCACCCAAACCATCCACATATACATTTGTAAGCTACGCTTGCCAATGTGGTATTAGTTCAAATACTACATGTAAGATTGGCCCGGAAACTGCAAGCACATGGAATTATGTTAAAACAATGGAGTGGCTAAATAATAATAATAATAATAATTTTTATATTTACAGGAAGGTAGAATAGGTTTGTGAAATTACATAATATTGGTATTTTTACATTTTTGCAAAGCCACTAACACTCATAGCGTTTCGGACAGGTCCTAAATCTAACATATCAGGTAAGATGAAAAGGTACATTGTAGCAAAATTTTATATCAACATATAACTACAATATAAGTTGACAGGTGATTACACTGGTGTAGATATATGTCTTAAGTACTAATATTAGGGAAGTAGGTACAAAGATATAGTGTGAGTTTGAATCAAAAGTAGGAAACTATGAGAAGGAAATTAGGTACTTTTTGGTTTTACTTCTGAATAAAGTATAGGTTAGACAATGTTTTAATTCTTTAGAGAGCGAGTTCCATGGACTAGGTCCCTGTATTTGCATGGAGTGTTTGCACAGATATAGTTTGACTGGGGATATCAAAGATAATTTTATTTCTGGTGTGGTGCTCATTGATAATATTGTATCTGTCAAGGAAAAGTTTCAGATCAAGATTACCAGTTAGGAACAAGGTTTTGTACATGTAAATAGCACATGAGAATGTGTGGAGTGAGTGTATGTTTAGCCTGTTACGGGACTTAAACAAAGGGGCTGTGTGTTGTCTGAAGACAGAGTTTGTTATAGATCTGATAGCAAATTTTTGCTGAATGATGATGGACTTGAGGTAGTCTGCAGTGGTTGAACCCCATGCACAGACACCGTATGTAAGAAAGGGATAGATTTGCGCGTAGTATAACGAGAGGAGAGCAGAGTGGAGTACATAATTCCCAAAATAAACATAATTAACAGTATCCGTGGCGCAGTAGTAAGACATTTGCCAGGCGCTTCGCGAGCCCTTTGGCCAGGGTTCGTATTCTGGCTGGGGAGGATTGACCGGGCGCCATTCCTTAACTGAAGCCTCTGTTCACCCAGCAGTGAATGGGTACCTGGTTAAACGATTTGGCGGGTCGTATTCCGGGGAAAATTAGGATTATGGACCTGCCCGAAACGCTATGCGTGCTAGTGGCTTTACAATAATGTAAAAACTCTTGTATACAGTATATATAAACTAAAAATAAAATAAAAATGTGTTGTATGTGGGTGCTGAAGTTCAGTATCTTGTCTATAGGCCAAGGAAATTTCCTTCGGTTTTATTACTAATGTTAACATTGTGTATCTGAAGTTGAATTTGATTTGATGATTTACTAACAAATAAAATGTAGTATGTCTTCTCTATGTTTAGTGTTAGTCTGTTGCTTGACATCCATGAGTGGACTTTTTTAATTCATTCATTATTTACAATATTATTTAGTGTGTGTGGGGGGGGGTTGGAGGGTCAGAATATATAATATTAAGGTAGTATCGTCAGCAAATAGTATAGGTTTAAGAAGGTTAGAAACATTTGGCAAATCACTGATGTATAAAAGAAACAGACGAGGTCCTAAGATGCTGCTCTATGACACTCTTACAGTTAATGGGCTGCTTGATATAATCTGCACAGCCTCTGATAAAATTGAGTTCCCAGTTGGGCTCTTCAGTGATCTGAGAAAGGCCTTTGATACTGTAAACCATAACTACCTTTTACTTAACTTCACCATTATGGAATCCGAGGCCTTTCCTGAATTATATTCGATCTTATCTTAGTGACAGACACCAATATGTAGTCATCAATGTTAAAACCTCCTCCCACTCTTCCATTAATAGTAGGAGTGCCACAGGGCACTCTACTGTGGCCCTATGGGTCCTTGGACCCATACTGTTTCTTATATATTAGTATATTTTGGTAGCAGTCTTTCTTGTAAACATATGTTGTTAAATATGACCGAAAAAGTAAGATTAATAATTTTAACACGAATTTTCTCAATATTTCTTATGTTTTCTTTTTACTGTCGATGGTAATTGAAAAATCAATTCTCCAAAATTCATTTTTATTTCTAGTCTGACGCGACGCCTGAACGCGTTTCGTAATTACCTATTACATTTTCAAAGACTTTACACAAACAACTGTAACCTGTAAACACACCAAAACAAAGAAACACGTTTCTTATATATGTAAATGATCTTCCAGAAGATATAGAATCATTCCTCTCATTGTTTGCTGATGATGCAAAAATTATGAAGAGGGTTAAGACGGAGGAAGACAGTATGAGACTAAAAGATGACCTAGACAGACTGAATGAATGGTCCAACAAATGGCTACTAAAGTTCAACCCGAATAAATGTAAGGTAATGAAACTAGGCAGTGGAAACAGGAGGCCAGACACAGGATACAGAATGGGAGATGAAGTCCTTCATGAAACAGACAGAGAGAAGAATCTAGGAGTTGATATCACACCAAACTTGTCTCCTGACGCCCACATCAAAAGAATAACATCTACGGCGTATACGAGGCTGGCTAACATCAGAACAGCGTTCAGGAACCTGTGTAAGGAATCATTCAGAACCTTGTATACCACATATGTAAGACCAATCCTGGAGTATGCGGCCCCAGCATGGAGCCTGTACCTTGTCAAGCACAAGGCGAAGCTTGAAAAAGTTCAGAGATATGCCACTAAGCTATTCCCAGAACTAAGAGGCATGAGTTAAGAGGAAAGGCTGCGGGAAATGCACCTCACGACACTGGTAGACAGAAGAGTAAGGGGAGACATGACCACTACCTACAAAATTTTCAGAGGAATTGACAGGGTAGATAAAGATAAACTGTTTAACACGGGTGGTACGCAAACAAGGGGACACAGGTGGAAACTGAGTACCCAAATGAGCCACAGAGACGTTAGAAAGAACTTTTCAGTGTCAGAGTAGTTAACAGGTGGAATGCATTAGGCAGTCATGTGGTGGAGGCGGACTCCACACAGTTTCAAATGTAGATATGATAGAGCCCAGTAGGCTCGGGAATCTGTACATCAGTTGATTGACAGTTGAGAGGCGGGACCAAAGATCCAGAGCTCAAACCCCGCAAGCACAATTGGTGAGGGCAGCATCTTGGGACCTCTCCTATTTCTTATATACATCAATGATCTGCCTAATGTCTTTAACATTCTTAAACCTATACTATTTGGTGACGATACTACCTTCATCTACTCAGACCCCAACCCCACACACTAATGTTATAAACAACGAATTAAAAAAAAAAAGTCCACTCATGGATGACAACCAACAAACTCGCACTGAACGTAAAAAAGACCTACTACATTTTGACCAGACTACACACTAGAAGGTGAAGCGACGACGACGTTTCGGTCCGTCCTGGACCATTCTCAAGTCGATTGTGGAATCGACTTGAGAATGGTCCAGGACGGACCGAAACGTCGTCGTCCCTTCACCTTTTAGTGTGTGGTCTGGTCAACTTACTATAGCCACGTTATTGTGACTCATCACCTACTACATTTTATTTGGAAGCAAACCATCAAATTAAATTCAGCTTCAGATTAACAATGTGTAACAGACTAGGCTGTTGTAAGAATTATCCAGAGTGGTTTATCGACAAAAGAGAATGGGAAGCTGAGCCCGCATGGTGACCTGACCCCCAGGGGAATTCGCGGTGGAAATAACCGACGCTTTGTTCATAGCTGCGTATAATGAACCATCCTATAGTATTCAGTAATTTAGAGAAAATTAGCCTTTATTCATTTTGCATTAAAATTGTATTGTATAATAGTACTGGGTACAATATCAAGAGTATTCTAATTATTGAGTTTAAGTCACCATCAGTGACGTCACGAATCAGATCTAACTTGTAAAGCGGAGTGACCGGCGGTCATAGGTCATCAGGGGTTGACAGGTCTACTATTTCTCAAAGTTTTAATAACCATTTTTGTGATCGGGAACAGCTCTGTCGTTAGATGTTTGTAATTTAATTCAGTAAAATAATTCAACCAGTCTGGATCAATTAAGTACAACAGAGGATTAATTGTTATAACTTAAACCTGGCTAGTAACTTGGTAAAACTTTGACTAGGCGGAAGGATACAATGTTCTAGTCTGGGCTAGGCCAGACGAGGACAAGTCAGTGTGAATACGGGAGCAGCTGGGAGAGGTCAAACATCTTACCTCTCCCCAAGACCAGCCCAACATCTAGAACTGGTCGCCCAAGGTATAGTTGCTATTGTTATGTATAGAAATAGTCTCATTTGCCATTCAGGTCAAGTAGGGAGTGTTAAAGTGACAGGGAGTGAACATATTTAGATTTTGTTTTAGTTTTTCTTTTAATAAATTAAATTTGTTAATATTTTGCATTTCATTGTTTCCATTTGGTTATGTGTAAACTTGTCCTGGTCACGTGGTCCACACGAGGTAAAGTTGGATTGGGCGCCGATTCTAACATCGAATCGGAATTATCATTACCGTGTAATTTATTCCACACTCAAGGTCATCGTATATAGTGGGGATCAAGCCCCTAGGTTGATTAATTAGCGTGATCGATCCAGACCTCGATCATTGCTCTTGTGTTACTAGTCTGGTGGTGGCAGCGTAGAGGCGACTCTAGGGTTTTGCTCAGAGCTTAGGTCACGTCATACTGGGTGTAGAATCCTAAGTCGGTCAATCGTCTTAGGACCACGTGGCGTGGAGTTGGCTTTGGTAAAAGTTTTGGAGTCCCTTGGTAGAGAATAAAAAGTAAGAATACGGGTAGAGGGTAAAGAAGAAAGAGAAGTAGAGAGAGGAACCCCGACCCGTGTTACAATGGTGGCAGCGGTGGGACCTTGAGTGTGGAATAAATTACACGGTAATGATAATTCCGATTCGATGTTAGAATCGGCGCCCAATCCAACTTTACCTCGTGTGGACCACGTGACCAGGACAAGTTTACACATAACCAAATGGAAACAATGAAATGCAAAATATTAACAAATTTAATTTATTAAAAGAAAAACTAAAACAAAATCTAAATATGTTCACTCCCTGTCACTTTAACACTCCCTACTTGACCTGAATGGCAAATGAGACTATTTCTATACATAACAATAGCAACTATACCTTGGGCGACCAGTTCTAGATGTTGGGCTGGTCTTGGGGAGAGGTAAGATGTTTGACCTCTCCCAGCTGCTCCCGTATTCACACTAATGTTAACATCAGCAATTAAAAATGATGGAAAGTTCCTTGGCCTATACATAGACAAGAGACTCAACTTCAGCACCCACGTACAATACATAACCAAAAAGTTAAAAAAACGGTCGGTATTCTTTATAAAATCAGATATGTTCCAAACTCTGCTATCTTCTCATTATAATACGTACTAATCTATCTCTATCTTACATACAGTATCTGTGTACTGGGTTCAATCACTGCAAAACTATCTCAAGCTCATCATTAAACAGGAAAATTCTGCTATCAGAACAATAACAAACTCTGTTTTCAGGCAACAGACAGCCCCTCTGTTTAAATCCCTATATATGCTAAACATAAACTCACTCCACACATTCTCTTTGGCCATTTACATGTACAAAACCTTGTTCCTAAATGCAAATCCTGATCTGAAACTCTTCCTTGATAGATGTAACAGAACCCATAATCACCACACCAGAAATAAATATATCTTTGATATCCCCAAGAGTCAAACTAAATATGTATAAACACTATGCAAATAAATGGAACACTATATAAACACTATGCAAGTTTATGTAACTCACTCCCTAACGTATTAAAAAGCTGTCCAACCTACGCCTTACTCGAAAGTAAAACCAAAGCATACCTAATTTCATCCTCATAGTTTCCCACCTGGTGCATCAAACTCGCACTGTATCTTGTGCTGATTGATTGATTGATTGATGAAGATTAAGCCACCCAAGAGGTGGCACGGGCATGAATAGCCCGTAAGTGGTGGCCCTTTTGAGCCATTACCAGTATCAAAAGATGATACTGGAGATCTGTGGAGGCGCAACTGCACCCTGCGTGACGGGAGATGTCTCCCGGACCAAATGGTGACCAAATGGTGATCTTGTGCTGCCCACTCCTCCAATATATGTCCCCAAGCCAAATAGCTTCACCATTGTAATCACTGCTATCAACTTATATCATGGTTATTATGTTGAGCGCATATTTTACTACAATGTACCTGTTGATAATCCTCAAATTTTACTATAATGTACATATCAATTTTCTTAAAATTTTCTTTCAGTGTACCTGTTAATATTCTTCAAATTTTGCTACAAATTACCTACTTAAAATTATCTGTTAGATTAAGGACCTGCCCGAAACGCTGTGCGTGTTAGCGGCTTTACAAGAATGTAAAAACATCAACGCTATGTACTCTCATAAACCCAATTTACCTTCTTGTATATAAATAAATAAATAAATGTTAGAGTGGGGGGGGGGGAGATTACTTTTTGGCTACATGTTGATGGTTAGCAAAGTCAATGGTTAGAACAACACGAGAGAAATAGATGAGATCTGGGAACAGTGATGGGTCAGAGGGACGCAAGAAGCACTTCAGAGGACAAGCAGTGACCTACTGATACACACTTGTGGAGGGCGTGGTGGGGGGAAACCTGTGGAGAGTGACCCCGTCCCCCCGCAGGCCGGGAGGAGAGCCCACAGGGGTTGAAGGAACACAGGTAGACAAGAAAGCTTCCAACGCCGTGAAGAGTCACCTGGTACTTACGGGAGCTGTATTGTCGACTCTCCGTGAATCTCGGGTGGACTGACCCAGTCAGGTCTGAGGAGTCTGGCGTCCCGCTCGGACTGGCCCGGGCCGCCTCCTGCTTGGGTAGACTGAGGTCTGGCGTCTTTAATTGGGAGAGTCCGCGGGCACGGCGTGGGCCAACAACGGATGTGATGTGAGATATCCAGTGCACATCTGCCCATGAAGCACGAACACAGTCCTCTGAGAAAGAATTATGCAATTCTGCTCTTATTGCGTGCTTCCCAAGTCGTGTTTTCCGAATTGAAATTCTTGTTTTAGAGCCAATTATTAACCGTTATGGGTTAACTGGTTGAAGCTGTGAATAATGGTCGTTCCACGACCTGTGATTAGAGATCATTCCGCTTGTTTGCCACTCTCACTACATACAATTATCGTTGTTTGTTGTTTAGATTCAGCTACTCAGAACAAAAGTTCCAAGTAGCACGGGCTATGGTGAGCCCGTAGTGGACTTACCTGGCACAGGAGTGGGGCTGTGTTAGAATTATCGTGTTTATTTACATTTTCTGTCTCGTGTGTGGGTCCACCGTCCACCTGCGCCTCGCTGTGTTGTCTCCTCACCTGGGGAAGACCGCCTCTGTCCGTTCTGCGTCTTATTTCACTCAGGATTTTGGATGTTCTGATCATATCCCTAATTCTTTTCAATCTCTCCTCCTAAGTCAGTATTTTATTTATATCTTAGTCTATCTGTATATCTCACTCTCTACTGGCAGTCACTCCCACTCCCCCCCTTCCCTAAAAGCTAATGTCTTAGTATTTACAGCTTTGCGGGTAGGCGGCTCCACGGGTTTATAATACTATGGGTGAATAAGTATCTCTTGTTTTTTTGTCCTATATTATGGCTGGAGATTGAAGCTGATGCCTCTGTATACGTTAGATTTAACTTTTTAAAGAATTCGATTTTTTCTTTATTATGCACCCCATACCCATCCCGTGGGCGGTGGTGTAAAGGATTACAGAGGCACATAATCGGTTCAGGAACTGAACCCTCTAGTTCGTTTAGCTAAGCAAATAACAATCTTTTGACGCTAGTTACACAATTATTAATGTTATATATACATGTGCACATACTCATACATACATGTACATATATATACATATACGGTCCTATCTTGTTTCTGATATATGTAAATGATCTCCTGAAGGGTATAGATTCATTTCTCTCAATGTTTGCGGCCGATGCCAAAATTATGAGAAGGATTAAGACAGAAGAGGACTGTTTGAGGCTTCAAGAAGACCTAGACAAGCTGAAGGAATGGTCGAACAAATGGTTGTTAGAGTTTAACCCAACCAAATGTAATGTAATGAAGATAGGTGTAGGGAGCAGGAGGCCAGATACAAGGTATCATCTGGGAGAGGAAATTCTTCAGGAGTCAGAGAAAGAAAAAGACTTGGGAGTTGATATCACGCCAGACATGTCTCCTGCAGCCCATATCAAGAGGATAACATCAGCGGCATATGCCAGGCTGGCCAACATACGAACGGCATTCAGAAACTTGCGTAAAGAATCATTCAGAACTTTGTATACCACATATGTCAGGCCAATCCTGGAGTATGCAGCCCCAGCATGGAGTCCATATCTAGTCAATGATAAGACTAAACTGGGAAAGGTTCAAAGGTTTGCCACCAGACTAGTACCCGAGCTAAGAGGTATGAGCTACGAGGAGAGACTACGGGAATTAAACCTCACTTCGCTGGAAGACAGACGAGTTAGGGGGGACATGATCACCACATTCAAGATTCTGAAGGGAATTGATAGGGTAGATAAAGACAGGCTATTTAACACAAGGGGCACACGCACTAGGGGACACAGGTGGAAACTGAGTGCCCAAATGAGCCACAGAGATATTAGAAATAACTTTTTTAGTGTCAGAGTGGTTGACAAATGGAATGCATTAGGAAGTGATGTGGTGGAGGCTGACTCCATACAGTTTCAAGTGTAGATATGATAGAGCCCAATAGGCTCAGGAATCTGTACACCTGTTGATTGCCGGTTGAGAGGCGGGACCAAAGAGCCAGAGCTCAGCCCCCGCAAACACAACTAGGTGAGTACATATATACATACACATACATATTTAATTACCTACACAAATACACACATCAATAATCTTTTGTGTCACAAGTGATTCAACAAGAGGCTCACAACACTCACTATACAAGGCACTTTACATCTATGGTGAGTCACACAGTTACTAGTCTTGCTGCACACCCACCCAACTGGGCGGCAGCTTTACAGTCATGTGCTCCACACCCACCCAACTGGGCGGCAGCTTTACATTCATGTGCTCCACACCTACCCAACTGGGCGGCAGCTTTACAGTCATGTGCTCCACACCCACCCAACTGGGCGGCAGCTTTACAGTCATGTGCTCCACACCCACCCAACTGGGCGGCAGCTTTACAGTCATGTGCTCCACACCTACCCAACTGGGCGGCAGCTTTACAGTCATGTGCATGCATTACTTACAGTAAGCAAATTTTGGATACTTCGCTAAGATTTCGGGCAGCACATCATTATGAATGAAGTACTTACACATTTCTTGGACACTATTGATGATGATATATCTAAATTCCGCGATTTTTTCACATTCCATTATATAATGACGCAAAGTATGCGAATAGTTCTGCTGACAGAGTTTACATTTAGTCAAATCTACATCAGCAGATGTTACAAACTCCCAGAGGTACTTGTAGCCGAGCCTAAGCCTAGCAGTGGTAGCATCTAGAAGTCTGCTAACATTATTGGATGACCCAATAAGGGCCTCGTAACCTGGTGGATAGCGCGCAGGACTCGTAATTCTGTGGCGCGGGTTCGATTCCCGCACGAGGCCGAAACAAATGGGCAAAGTTTCTTTCACCCTGAATGCCCCTGTTACCTAGCAGTAAATAGGTACCTGGGAATTAGTCAGCTGTCACGGGTTGCTTCCTGGGGGTGGAGGCCTGGTCGAGGACCGGGCCGCGGGGACACTAAAGCCCCGAAATCATCTCAAGATAACCTCAAGATAACCCATAGACGTGTGGTAAAAGAAGTAGTCTCGTTTGACAGCGGGTGCTGGAGGCGGTGCTCCCTTACTCATCTTGCCAGCCGTAATGCGTAATTACAGAGTGCACAAAAGGTTTTAAACATCAGCAGAAAGTAACATGATTAATTACAATAAACCTGCACACCTTATAATTATATTAACAGCTAGTAACAGACTTATCTCACTGCAACTAATATGTATTAACAATATATTATACATCAATCGGAGGTATTGACTCTTTGTTAACGATAACATAGTTTTCAACATTTTTTTTACATAAAAGTATTTTTTATGGTTTTAGTTCTCAACCCGTACATTAAATATACATAGGTTATTTATGTACTAGAAGCGAAATATGGATACAGTGCAAGTATTTCAAATATTTTACCATTTATAGTGAAATTATCTACTGTTTCACGCAATGGAAGTTTAGTTCTAACTCTGGTTTGAAATATTGTTAGATCGGCGTTACGACTACTATCAGACACTTATCCTTAGGTGTAACTGCCTCCCACGTACACTGTACTGTCTTTTTGGTCTATTCCCTTCTACCAAACCTCGTCAAATAACATTTTGGAGATTAAACTCTAGGAGCCATTTATATGCGCTTATTCATACAGCTTATCTACGTCGTCCTGTAGAGCAATAAAGTACTCTACAGTCCTCGCCCTCCTGGTGAGGCTTTAGTCGTATGTAAACAGTAGCGATCCTCTCCCCTACGAGGGAGAGGAGAGAGGAGACCTAATTATGGTATTCCCTGTGGGAGATCATTAACATAACTCTACAACAGTGGTAGTGTGAGCGTAGCCTAGCGGGGCCGCTCTTGACACTCCCATCATGGCAGTGCTGCTCTCTTAGTTTTATTTATATATACAAGAGTTCTCACATTCTTGTACAGCCACTAGCACCCATATCGTTTCTGGCAAGTCCTTAAGCCTAATATTCCCCGGAATACGACTGCGTCAAATCCTTTAAGAATGCCCATTTTACTGTTGGGTTCAGCAGAGGCTACAGTTAACGATTTGCGCCTATTAAATCCTCCACGGCCAGGATACGAACCCAGGACAAAGAGCTCGCGAAACGCCAGGCGAGCGTCTTACTACTACGCCAAAGGGACAACACCCCTCTCTGCCTTCACCTGCCAAATACATAATGTAAAATTTCCACTGAAGTCTGATTTGAGACACATTGTGTTGGGGGACAGGCAGTCACTCAATATAAACAATATGGAAATGTGACATACACATACATACACACACACACACACAAACACAAACACACACACTCACTTCAGAATTGCTTTTAAATACATGGATGGCGATATACTAAAGAAATTGTTCACGACTTTTGTTAGGCCAAAGCTAGAATATGCAGCAGTTGTGTGGTGCCCATATCTTAAGAAGCACATCAACAAACTGGAAAAGGTGCAAAGACATGCTACTAAGTGGCTCCCAGAACTGAAGGGCAAGAGATACGAGGAGAGATTAGAGGCATTAAATATGCCAAAACTAGAAGACAGAAGAAAAAGAGGTGATATGATCACTACATACAAAATAGTAACAGGAATTGATAAAATCTATAGGGAAGATTTCCTGAGACCTGGAACTTTAAGAACAAGTCATAGATTTAAACTAGCTAAACACAGATGCCGAAGAAATATAAGAAAATTTACTTTCGCAAACAGAGTTGTAGACGGTTGGAATAAGTTAGGTGAGAAGGTGGTGGAGGCCAAGACCGTCAGTAGTTTCAAAAAGTTATATGACAAAGAGTGCTGGGAAGACGGGACACCACGAGCGCAGCTCTCATCCTGTAAGTACATTTAGGTAATTACACTTAGGTAATTACACACACACACACACACACATACACACACACACACACACACACACACACACACACACACACACACACACACACACACACACACACACACACACACACACACACACACACACACACACACACACACTCTTGACTGGAGTCCTTCACTGCCTCCGACGTAGAGCGGAGAGCGACTGCAATACGGAGCTCCTGCGGATCAAGACGTGTGCCTGTCGCATACATAGGGACTGCCAAAGGAAGTCCCCTGCATGGGGAGCCTGCACAGCTGTGAGGC